ATGGGGGAAAACAGAAAATGAGGATGTCACACTTACTAAAAAAACAGGACAGAACTGTGAAGCTAAAAATGGTAGAAAGGATGAAATGAAAAAGCTACAAAACAAATGGAAAATGAAGCACAGAAATGAAGGGAAATAAGTATATTAATCAAGTCTCTATTTGCAACTAAACCCTCAATTTTAAGCCTCCAGCTTCTCTAAGCATCGTACAGAAATGTTTTCAGTATACATTTCAGAAATGTTTTCAGTAAGCCTATTTTAACGTTGGTTTTAAAAGCTTGTCCCGGTTTGAGCGACACAGGACTAATTTCTCCTCTAATGCTTGAGAAAACTGCACTTTTAGAAGACTCTAGTGTCTGAATTTGTGAAAATATTTACTTTATAGCCAGCTATGGTGTGTGGGTTTCAAGGTCTCAGTGTTTTTGAGCTCACCAGGTGCACGGATGAAGAGGAGCAAGACCTGGGCACTTGACCCAAGCTGGCCAACAGGATTATTTCATACCATGAACGTCACATTCAATAGAAATTAGAAAGTTCACTGAGAAGTGCTCTCTCTCTCCCTTAATGGTTGCAACCAGAGAAGTTTGTTGCCCCAGTGCTGGACCCCAGAGGCCTTACTTCCCTCCGAAGCCGGATTTTTATTCCCTGAACGGAGGCAATAGTTGGATGAGCAGCTGAGGGGCAGACAGGAGGGCACCGCACCCCTCACACAGCAGTGAGTGACCCAGGGGGACTGGTGGGATGCAGCTGGCTCTGCGGACCAGAGGAAGAAGCATGAGGTTCATTGTTCCCTCTGGGAGCTCCTGGGGAGGGTGAACAGTGAAAACGGCTCTGGCTCTGCAGGGTGTCAGCTCCACGCTGAGTGCACCTGGAGTGCCACATCTACTGCATGCACAGAGTAATCCAAATGCACACGTGCATTAGCCCAGGCTGGGGGGAAAGGGAGGAGCCCAGAGCATACAACACTTCCTTCTCCCGGGAAGAAATTACTTGTCTTCTTCGACCATGGACACTCACTAGCATTTGCTTCAGAGAACAAACTCCTAAGTGGACTGACTCTCACAGTAGCTATAATTAGCCCAAATTAGGAAACATTGTCCTTGGGGGGAATTGGCCCAGACAGATAAGGTCCCAAGGGGAAAGTTGTGGCTTCACGTCTCCAGGTTCAAACACAATGACACCAAATTAGGGAATTCTGCATCCAGTATTGTCCGTTTGAATCCAAGAATTTATTGCTATGCCCACCAAACTGAGCCGATGGAGGAGTATGCTGTCCAAGGACAGCGGTACATTCCTTTTACACTCTGATGCCTATTTTTGCCAATTTGGGTATTGCTTTAGAGAAGCTGCACATTACAGAAAGGGTAGATAAAATGTATAGATACATTATGATTTTAAAGCCATAAAGGACCATAAAATCAACTATTGTCACCAGCCAGAGGGGCATCACCAGTCTCTGAACTTTAGCCAGTTACCTCAAGATCGAATCCTATTGTTTGTGTTTGACACCACCACATCTTCCAGAAATACAGTCTGTATTTGAAGACTGCAAGCGATGGAGAATTCCCCATTTCCTTTGATATTCCTTTCATTAATAATTAATAATCTTCACTGACATAAATCTGTGCCTTTTCCCACTTGAATGAGCCTATTTTTTCTTCAATACACTAAACTTTATTATGTCTCTTTCCACTACATTAAAGAGCCTATTTATGTTCTCCCAGAGAAAGTATACAAAATTTCCTCTATATTGATTTGGACATATCATAGTCTCCCCATTGTCAACAGCAGCTGCACAACTGCAATAACTGCATTACGGATTGCTGAGTGGCTATAACTAAGACAAGTGCTCAAGAAAGCCGGAAAGAAAATCAGCAGCCTAAGTCGCGCTGACATTAGTTACTTTATGACACAAAGCTTTAATTTATCATACTTCTTTCTCATACTCAGGCCTGGTTGAATTCTTGGTGAAATTACCTTGCCAAAATTCAGAAGCAACTTCATCAATGGTTAATGAGACCATAATCTCTTCTCTTAAGGGCATACTGAATTTATTCGGGTCATATGTTGTTCTTTATTGCTATCCTTTATGGACCAATTAAAACAATTTGATGTTAGTGATAATCATAAGATGTTTAAGAGTGTCAGTCTTACCATTAGATGATCATTTACAATCATTAACTCAATGTATTTTGTTTCCTCTTCAATTTTACGTGGAATCTGACGAACCTACAGAGAGAGTACAACTGTAAGAGAGTCTAACGGAATACAGAGAAAGTGTAACTGATAACTACAAAAAGCTTCAGAAACCAAACTTCTCATGCATACATTTTTACTATTGTCTTAATTCTGGTCTGAGATATTCACGAAAATTCTTGTGCTTCATTGCATCATTTTAAAAAATTCTTTCACCTCCGCCAGGACATTTATATGACCTTAAACAATGAAATCAAGTCTTTCAACCCACCCAATCCCAAGTTTAGCATTTTTAAAAGAGAATTCTCAGTGGGGCCTATATCTCTAAAAATGGGTTGTGTCAGCTATAAACTTTTTTTTCCAAAGAGAAACGGATTCCTCCTGAGTTCTTAATGAAAAATCTCCGTAACGATTCTATTGTTTGCACACTGCTTGATTCACACAGTGAATGCAGTACTCACCTCCATGTTATGCTTACTTTGCATTTAGAAACATTTACAACTGTGCTTCTTCACGGCGTCCTTGTTTTCCTGGGTTTTTCCAGGAGAGTTATTACATCATTACATCATTATACAGAGTAATGGCTAGTTTATAGAAAGGTAGCAAACCACCTAACATAAAGTAAGACCCTCAAAAATGACTTATGGAACTTTTCCAATGTCTTTCTCACTTCTCTTTTGCCTCTGAGAGGCTTATATTAGTCATCTAAAAGTTAAAGTGATCTTCCCCTCCCACTGCCCTCAGTATTTCATTTTTGCCTGCTCTGTTCAGCCTCCCTGACCAGGCTCTGTATCGACCTGTACCTTCATTTGAGCTCCATTCCTATAATGCAAAGAATTGCTGCTATCTTTCCAGGGTACAGGCAAAACATCTGTGCTTAGTGGCTCCCCCACTTTAATAAACAGGGAATGAACTCTCAGTTTAGAGTATTTATTTTAAATCAAAATCAAGTGAGATAAAGTAGGTACTTGTCACCATTGCAGCATAAAAAATATTTGTAAATGTTTCATTAATTGGGAGTTTCTAGTAAAACTCTATGCTCAAAATGAGAGAAAATATTTTAGCTACTTTTTCATATGCAATATAGCAATGTTTAACAATTTTATAACTCTTCAGGTAGACAATGTCCAAGAGAACCCAACAATGTTTTGTCAATATTTGATACCTCTTTTTGTAACAGCTGTATTGATATAGAGACCTCATGCCAAACCAGCAGCAGCAGGACTCCATCTGGACAAATTAATGAAGCAGACACAAAACTTGATGGCATATTACTTATAAACAAGCATATTGGCACATACCTGCCTTTTACTTCTTTTGTGTCTTGGCTTTACAACAAACTTCTGTGATGTAGTATTCATTTGCCAGAACTCTAAGCAGAAAACAGAGGCAAATACATCGAGTGTATACAAGAACATAGCCCAACAATAAGTGGCCCTGACACCACATGACAGTAGCACGGCATTCTTCCACACATCAGATGCAGCAACAACTCCTTTTTTCAAGTTTCAAGCTAGAAAGGAGGCAATGTTACAGATGCTTCCCAGCAACAGGGTTCTTATTAAAAACTCTACTAGTGATAATCTGGGTCTGCTGAAACAGATGATCTGTGGGTGTCACACTTCAGAAAGCACAGCAGATGTTCTATGCCAAAACTTCACCAGCACTGGGCATGTAATATTATTAGCACAGTGCTTCCATGGAGTGAATCACATTTTCGGGAATTCAGCAGACATTCACAGAGCTCTCGCAATAGCTACCTAAATTAATAAGAAGAGCACGGAAGGCAGAATTAATGCTTTAAGACGATTATAGTCACAAAGTAAAATATGCTAGAGTTCGGAGAAACCTTATGAGATTTTGGCAATGCTCACTATCGATACAGTATTCCTCCCTGCTAATCCAACTGTGTCTTTAATTTCTTAAATCTCTAATCATAAGCACCAAGCAGGTTATTCTTTTGCCAAATCCCTTTCACCAAATCTATTACTAGCCACTCATGGAAAGGGACAAATTATAAACTAAGCAGAAGACAATGCTTGCTCTCACCCTTTTAAATGTCCAAGAAGTATTTTTCCATCTTTCATTTTAGATTCATAGTCCCTGCCTCGCTCTTCTCTATACAACAGAAATCTCTTTCCTTATCCCGTATAAACATATTTACTATTCACATAATCCCAAGAAGATTTTTTTTTTGAGATGTGTAAATTAAATGTTTGCAGCTGCTTATTTTGTAATATCTTTTTTTCTTTGTCCCCTCCTTTATACTTTCTCCAGCTTTGGACATGCTTTCAGTCTCCAGAGACTGAAAACTGCTTTCAGTATTCCAGAGTGATTTTATCAGTCCTGCAGAGAAGTAGACAGTACTATAGGAGCTGTAGAAATTAGGGGACTTCCAGTTCACGTACTTTTATAAACAACTTTTGGTTGTGTTACAAAATCCTAAACAGTTCAGTTTCACTGGTGAGACAGGAAAGTTTCTCACAGTTCCACCTCCCACCTGCTGCACATTAGCTGTGCAATTTCTGCATGAGGTTCAAACCATAGCATTAAAACCAATGCTGACAGGAATTTGACAGGGCTGCCATATCAGCAAAACCTTAAAACAAGAAGCTGAATTGCCCATCTGACAAACATTACCAGTCGTAAGCGCTAATCTTAACCAGGAGTGGCTAGTTATTATAAAACAAACTAGGAAAGTAAAGCATGAATAACTGGTATTGTCCTGGCTAAATCTTGGGGATTACACTGTCATTTTGGTACGTGAAGTTTGCAGATACCTTTTTATGGAGGGGCCTGGACAATCATAGGCCTTTTGCTTAAAAATGTTTTCATTGTTACACCAGTACACTTGAGGATTTTCTTTACAAAAAGGACCTAAAACAAATTAACTTACATCCAACGGTCACTATATATTGCTTAAAGACCTGCAGTCACTACAGCTTGCAATGATAAGAAACTAAATCTTGAAAAGTTGTTTACAAATTTGGTTTTGATTATGCTTTACATATGTTTATCAATTTAGTCTATGTTCTAGTGCCACATGACTGGCTCTCAACCTGTAATTTTATGTTTTCTATCATGGTTAATGAAACTGGTAAAAATACCACTTTTCAACCAAAAAAATAGTAATTTACAATTTGTATATAGGGTCTCAGATAACTTTACCAGCAAATGCGATTGCTTTACCCACCATCGGAAGTCAGTCATCTCTAGAGGGGAATGATGCAGCCATTAACGTTAACACATTAACACACATTAACGCAGCGCTATAATTCACAAGCTGGATTAACTCATGCAGGGTACATTTCCAGCCAGGGACCCTTAGGCAAAAGAACACGACCAGCAAAATCACAGGAAATGTAGATAGCTGAGAAAGCCTAGTGGAAATTTTGATGGGAACATGTTACCTTGAAGAACTGTAATGTGGATTCATAGAATCATAGAACTATTTAGATAAGAAAAGACCTTTAAGATCATCGAGTCCAACTGTTAACTTAACACTGCCAAGTCCCACTAAACCATGTCCCTAAGTGCCACACCTACACATCTTTCAAGTGACCTCAAAAGAAAAGGACATCTGTTATGCATTATTTGAAAAACAACAACTTCAATAACACGGTGTTGTCTAAGACCATGGCAGCATACTATATGTCTCAATACAGACTGTGAGAAAAAATACAGTCTACTAAATTATGAAGTCAAATGCTCTAAGCATGCCAAGTCATCCATCCAAGCTTTCCTAATTTAAAGTCCCCATTACCTCCTCAGACCATTGCAAAGTACAGTACAATAAATTATTTTCTGCCATAGCCTTCTTTTTCTTTTTCCTTTTTTAATACCCAAGGAGCAAAAGAATGTAAAAAGTACATTGCTAACAAACTGTGGTATAATAGTGTGTCCTTTTACTATCAAGTAATCCCTATTACTTGATTTTTTCCCTTTCTAACATCAATATTGAAGCTGATGATACAGCCGGTCCATTCTTAACACAGTTCTGAGTGGAAATCTTAGCTTACACACAGACACTTTCAAAGATAATAAGAAAATCTTGACATCACGTCAGTCCTTAGGCTGGGCAAACTGACAAACTATGAGAGTAATAAGGAGTATAAAAATACTGATGACATAACCTAGCACAGTGCTTGCTACTAATAAAAAAAAAATCAATTACAATACTATCAACAATTAATTGCAAATATTGTTTAAAGAAAACAAAAAAAAATAAAAGTCAAGACAACAGTCAGCGCTCTCCAGACTGGTAGGGAAGAGACAGTGTCAAGCAAAAGCCCCGGTGGGGCAGCATGTGCGAGGAGTGAAGAAGGTCGGGCAGTGTGTGCAGCAGGTTGGGGGATGAACAATAGAGCTCCTATGGGCACAGGGAAAAGGGTGGAGAAGCAGAAGGTGGTGAAGACTGCTCTTGTCCTCTGGAGATCTCTAGGGACGTCCTCTGTCTTTTCACAGACAAAGTAAAATGGTGGGATTCCTAATGCGGGTATAATCTATTACATCTACCAAAACTTTCACTACAAACCTCAGAAACACCTTTCCAAGGAGTTTTACAAAAACAAGAATGGGCATGTGGGAGAGCAGACTGTGAGTTAAAGTTTATTTCTCCATATATGGGATCCTAAACATAAAGCCACAGAAGATTAGCACCTTATACCTCTTATCCACCTTACAAATATTTGTATAATTTAGATCACTGGCACTCCACAATTAAATCTCCTTTTCAACCTTTTCTACAGTCTTGTCATTCTAATTCAGTCTAATGGCAACATCTTCCACTGTGTCACATGCCAGGCTCTATACAGCACAGCCAGCAACTATTTATTTTTTATCTACAGTAAAATCAAAACTGCACAAGCATGTCTGAATTTTTGTGGGGAAAAAAAAACCAACAAACCCTGAAGCCCTATTTTGACAGGTTTTTTGAAAAACAAGAAGCTTTGGTGCAGGTCAAACTGGTGGATTATACTTGCAATGAATTCCTTTTCATAATTTTAAAAGAAGAAAATAATTTTATTCCAAAATCTTGAAAACATAAAATTTCACTATTAGGAAATCTTATAAGACAGCTGATAGATATCTACTAAGTACCAGCTCTAGCAGTCTCCTACTTTAAAAATCTGAGACCGAAAATTTATTTCAAATTCAGCAGTGGTTGCATTATTTCCAACCTTTCAAATGACATATCCTCAAGAAAGTATTATAAAAGATGCACTTTATTATTTGGCCTTATGTTCAGTAAATTGTTCTTATTACACTACCATCTCCACAAGTACAGGGAGTAATCATGGAACCTGTCTAAGGTCCATGGACACAGGAAACTTCATGATACAGATGTCTGTCTTGCGCTGCATGAGCCTTTTGTGCTGCCCCTCCATCCCAACGCCTCCTCCACCTTGCCTGGGCAATCATCAGTGGAGGACATGAGGCATCAAGCTGGGATACTGTTTTGTTTAGACTCAGAAAGATTCCTTCTTCAGAATTGAAATCAAAGTGACCCAACTGTAGCAATTTCCTTTGTTTTTTCTCATTAGCTCTCTGAATTATTCTACTTTGCTTAACGACAAGCAAACCTGCACACGCTGTGCTCCAGGGAAGGACCCACCTATGTGCAGCACAGTAAGATTCCAGATCCAACTGTTACCATAGGACAAATAGCTTGTAACAAGATCACTGGACAACTGTAACTCTCCCGAAGAAATTAGTCTTAAAGGTGGCTCCTACCAAAATGACAGCATCTATGAAGGACAATTTTATTTATCTGGGATATATTTTGTAGAGTAGGAAAATATATCTGTAAAACTGGCAAATCCTTGACAGAATGGGGATATGCCATAAATACTGCACTGTTAGCTTCAATTACCAAGCCAACTTCTCAGATGAAAACTCATTTTTTTATAACCTCTTCTCCCTCCACACACCATATAAACTGTTTTTGGGGATTCATCACTACAAGTACTTGAAACCAGTTCTGGCTCCAAATCCATTTCTACTGAAATGCATGACCCACTCTAAAGCCAGTACTGTGAATGATGCTGAACGGACTGGAGATGAGAGAGTCACTAAACAGCAAAGATATTTGGCAAGTTCTTGTCTCCCAGACTTAGCCTCACACCATGGTACTCACTCTGTATCTCAAAATAAGAATAATCCACGAAAAGTTATCAACCACTGGCAATGTGGGGTTTATTTTCATCATCTTTAGGCTACCTCAGTCCTTTCCTTTCTACAACTACTAGGCTATAATGCAGCTCATAGACCATATGACTTGTGATGTATGTTTCTGTTAACAACATGAACATTTAGGAGATGCTTGAGCCATTGGAATCAGGGGTTTTTTTAGTGTTTCAGGTTCTTTTTCAGTGCTTTCAGTGTTTCAGATTCTTTTTTTTCAGTGTTTTTATATTTAATCAGGAAAAAGAAGAAGTATAAAAATAAACAATATACTATCAGAAGATTATCTATCAAACACAATTAACAAATTTGGCCTCAGACTAAAACAAGTCAATAAGTCATGAATATTAAAAAATCATACCAGATGGCAGGTCATCTGAAGGAAACTCAAACAACTTGGATTTGTAAACAGAGTGGAAATGGAAGTCATCCTGAAATAGTAAATAATTGCATGTAATAAAACTGGATAAATTAATCCATCTCATGAGCATTAAATAGACAGTTCCAAAGGTCGTCATCTTCCAACACCTATGCTAGTGAACATGCAAGGTGCAAGGCACCATTACTTTACATTCTTCTTTTCCCAACTGTGATGTGATTGCTAATGCACAGCTAATCATCTTTTATTTGAAACATCTAAGTATATCAAAAGGAGTGGCTGAGCACGCTTAGAGCTAGGCTTAAGAGAGCTGCCCAGGGAACATCACTGGGAGTCACAAGAGCCACTGAACTGGAGTCAGGGCCAAACCAGGAGGAGAGAGATGTAATGAATCCAGAGGGGGAAGTGCCAGAGAAGGGCGCACAGCACTCAGAGGCTTCTCCTGTTTTCTCCAAGGGACCCTCAATTATCCTCTGGTGCTGCACTGCTCTACATGCAAGTGTTACAGAGTACACACATATACACATAGCACTGCCTAAATTTTGGAGGTCTACTTTTGTCTGTGATGATGGGGACTCACATATGAGGTAAATGAGTTGGGAATGAAAGGATGACCCTTTGGTCCCAGAGTCTTGTGCCTATCCTGTACCCATGAATTTCAGTATTCAACAAAAAACACAGAAGGATTACTGTAAGTTCTACTTACATCTGAAGTGTAGTTTTCATCTGGCTCGATAAGGTAAGTATGATTTCCATCATAGAACATTCCACTGTCAAGAGCAGGAAATGTAAATAATGATTTAATAAACAAATACTACTGCAACATGGAAGTAAGTTTAAGAAATTAATATATTTTAAAAATTTAAAAATTTAGAAAAGGAAGCAGTTAAAAATTGTTTTCAGAAACTAAATGTAATTCTGAGTGAATCTTTTGTCTCTTCACTTCAGAAAGATATTCTCTCCTGTGGTGATATAGACTCTTCTTTCTTCCCCAAAGCTTCTCTACAACACATATGAACACCACAAAAATTGTCTAATTTACCCAACTGAAAATCCAGTTCAGAGCCCCAACTCCCATGCAAAAGAGATCTACTTGCAATAGATAAATAAGGGACCTGTCTTTAGGAACACATGTATTTGGAACACACGCACAGCTTTCCCCCAAATAAAAATATTACTGAAAATATTACTGAATTGAATCGATCCTTAGGTTTTAATGGTTTTGATTAACTCTTTCCTCAGTAATTCCATACAGTACCAAATAACAGGGCATAACGGGATCTTTTGGGCACAGAGGACTGTTTGGGGCATTTCAGCAATAATAATTATGATAGGTGGTCTTTTCTTTTCAAATTGATTTAGTTTAAGTTTCTATTTCTAGGAAACATTAATGGCTGTATGCATTATCATATCAATATGGACATTGTATGATGTTCACAATAAGGAGATAGGAAACCCAATCAGACAGGCTTCCAATGGATTGTGGTGAAGAGAGATACAGAGGACCAAACATTCTGCCGTACCCATGGTTCTGGCTAAGTACTCAGGGTCTCTTTCTTAACGGCATAAAATCTTCTCAACCACAGAAATTTCAAGGTCATTCATGACAAGCACACTGCTATGTATCTCAGAAAATCTGTCACTTTGCTTGCCCATACACAATCACCAATTTTCTGTATTAAATTCCAACACACAGTTCAACAGAATGAACAACAAATGAAGAACAAACTGAACTGTTAAGGCTCTCTAAGTGGATGAAGATGGTTTGTGACGGTAATACCAGATGCTTTTGCATTACCACTCGAATGTACAGCAAATGTGAGGTCCATTCCTGCAAGGATGTTTTCTATTAAGAGTTACCTTAAGTTTACTTAAGTAAAGAGTGTACTGAGATTTAGTCTTTAACACAATGCAGGATGCACAAGTGTGGTTGAATTGCACCTTAAACGTAAGTGTTAACATAGACATTACTCTGTAAGAGCATAAAACCAAAGAGCATTTCTTATATCACTACTATTCTGATCTTCAACCAAATCGGCATTTTTTTTAATAATTTTGCCTTTATTGCAGTGGCATACACACATGGTTGGCATTAGGCTGTATCAGCATGTCCCTTTCAAAGTGCCACTACTAAGGGCTTTAAACCTGGCCATAAATATGAGCTGTAAGTTCAAACTTGGCACATAGTACACAACAGTAGTATGAAAGCAAGGTTACTTATTTATTTAGATTCCTCTTTAGCAAACTTTTAGGCATCAAAAAAAACCCCAACAGAATTATAAACGACAAAACCAGATACTTTTCTTTTTTCTTATGCAGTTTTTTTTTTTTAAATCAGCAAAATTGATTTTGTTTCTGCACAGGACCAGATGCAGTCAGTAAAATACTGTTATTCTTTTCCTGACTATTAAGAAATATAAGCATATATTAAGCTTGTAAACCATTACAGCTATCGATGAGCATACTTGTCTTAGTATCATTCACTTACAGGGTCAACCATGCACCACTCACAGAAGTAGCTTGAATTACTGACTGTATAACATACAGCAAGTGTGATCACGAGTATATCTACAATTTAAAGCTGTTTCACATTTCAAATTACCTGTGCTTATTCTTTTGAAATAAATACTGTCTACACAGCTTAAGATAAATATTCTAGCACCTGCTGAAGCTTCTTTGCCTGGGAATAAGATGAGATTTGGTAACATCCTGCAGCTCTTAATCAGGCAAAACTTCCTTCCCTCTAATTGTAATTTTACTTTAGCACAGTATACAAGATGTTCTTGTGCAACTGTGGCACCCAAGCAGCACTGACTTCTGATCAGGTCACTCAACAGTGACAAGAATAATAGTCACAGCTGAAAAGCGTTCATGGTCCTTTTCCAACCGACTTCAGTAGTCCAGTTCTCTGTGAACAAATCACATGCTCACAGATGTGTTAGAGAGAAAGCAATAGCAAAACATGGGCCATTTCAATAACCTGAATTTTGATTACGTGTATTCTTTGAACAAACAAATTTGTAGTCATGAAAGTCTAATTTACAGTAATAACATCAGTTTTTATATTCACCACCAGTGGGCAGCAAAATCATAGACCAACCTGATGTCTGTGCAACTTGCTTTGAAACACAGGACTGCAAGTCGTGCCTGACTACAGCTTATTTATATCCCAGCAACCAGTGTGTTTTGCATTCAAAGTTTTTTGTGTTAACTCATAGGAAACTGTGGTTACTGCATATCCCACAGAAAACAAAAAAAAAATCCAAACAAAATGGGTCACTTGGAGTTAAGGTTACAGAGATACATTTTTCATTAGTAAAGTCATTAAGAAGAGAAGAAATTCATAATTTTAAGTATTCTGTCAGCCAGTCATCCTATTAATTTAACTAATAAAAGGAAGATCACAACATAGACATTACCAACAGAAGAACTCATAATTTCTGATTAAAAAACACTGTATTTTCTAATGTATGAAAAAATCTGCTGTTACCGGACAAGATCCAGGGGTACTAATAAGTAAGAGAGGAGATTAGCATGAACTTTGGGAATATGAAGGTTGTTATTCTATTAAAGGCATCTGCTCAGTCTCATGCACTTCCTAAAATTCATGAAAGCAAAGCTCCTGCCCTGCGGACCTTACTAGAAGATAACTCTCCCCAGCTTCCCATATTCCAGTGAGACATTCCGAACTGTGGTTGGAGCTAAGGAGCTCTGATTGCCGGTGGGAGTTTCTAGTAATTACTTAGCATTTAAAATCAACTGTGGAGGAGCTAGTTGTAATGACGGAAATGCAGTGTCAGAGAATTAGAGTTTAATACAGCTCTGGAAAACATTACTTTCTCATACTGGATGCTGGAATTACCAGCCTGCTACAGTAAGTTTCATATTGCATCTTGTGTGAAGGATAACTCTGCTGAAACATTATTGTATCAGAAAAAGGAGAAAAAAAAAAAAAAAAAAAAAAAAAAGATACCGCTCAAGGGAGAATTATGCAGGGGGAAAAAATGCATCTTTCATCACATAACTGTGTTAGAAGGGACCAATTTCGGTATCAGGAAATTTAAGGATACATAGCAGCAGGAGGGTCAGTCTTAAGAACAAACCCGCAAAAGGAGAGCAGGAAAGGACATATGCAAGCTCTCCTTCCTTTCTGCCTTTTCTCCTAGGAGCTAGCAAGGGCCAAGACCTAATGGATCACTGCTAATGGAAGCCATGCAGCAGCTCAGGATGCATTAGGATGCTACTATTTTTAGGCTCACTGTCCATACTGAAACTGGGCTCAGGTTTCTTGAGCTGCTCAACCTTGACCATAAAAGAGATAAACACAGCTGTAAATCAGACAAGTGCAAGGATGACAAGTCTTCTGCATGCATTCTCCCCCTTCCTAACAAAGAACATACAAACAGAAAAGAAAGGCGCTACTTAAATATGTGTACTTATGTGGCTGATACTAAAACTACGAGGAGTTGGAGATATATAATAACCTGAAGAAGATTTCCATCAGCTAAGCCCTGCTTCCTCAGAAATTTCTAAGGCAATGCTCAGGTAATCTCCACTCAGGCTCACTTGCTGCCATGACTTTTCAAGCTGATCTCAGTACCAAAAGCGCTGAGATCCTGTAATTCGCAGACTCAACAGTCACTGAAGTCACTTGGTTGCTCTGAAAACCTGACTAGCATCTTTCAATACTGCCAAAATTACACAAGTGCAAAAGCTGTACAATCAACACACAGCTCCATGTAACCTTCAGATGACAGACGCTTTAATTCTATTATCACTAAAATAATCTAATTTTTAAAAAAATTATTATTGCACAATTTTATATCCTTTCTTCCAGATTTTCCAAGATTTTACTATATCAAAGGTATTATCCCATCCACACAGCTTAAGGCCAGCAATTCCCTGAAGAAAACTGATAGGAGAAGAGAAACTCTTAACTGACACTTTCCTTTGTAAAGAGAGTAGAAAAGAAAGATAAAATACATCATTATAGCAACAATAAAAGAACACAATTTCCAAATGGCTCATATCAATACCGGCAGGTTTTTTTATTCTTGTAGAATCGGATGTTTTCAGCTACTTTCACTCTTCTATATCCATAGTAAATTATCTTAAAACAGTACCTGGCCACTCTCATATGTCCTCACTTTGAGAAAAAAAAAAAAAAAAAAAAAAAAAAAAAAAAAAAGAAACCTGCGTGCTTCGTCAGTGAATTCTGAAAACAAACAAAGCTTTTGCAAGGTTCAAATTAAACCCATTTTTTCTAAAGATTGTTGAGTACTTAATATTGGTGACAAACTAGTAGGAAAATAAATAGCACTTATTTTACTATAAACAACTCTATTTTTCCTAAAAGGTTAATAAGCAAAGGCCAGTAAAAACAAAACAGCAGACTTACTGTAATCCATGGCATGTTGACAAGGCAACAAATGATACAGGATTTCCTCGAATTTCTCCCTGATAATAGCAATGCTCTCCTCCCTGAAATTGGAAATTGAAACTGTAAATCCACAGGACATCCCACAGTATCACACTCCATCCTGTCAAACACTGCTTTTTCATAAAAACATTGCCAAGCCACTGACACAGAACCAAGAATTGACTATCACTTACAAGGGTGTTCATCCCATCTCCTTTTAGCCATGGTTTGGTACCCAGACAAACATCATTTTGACTCTCTACACCAAATGGAGATATTTTCAGTGTGAAACTCCTGGCATCCCGAGACAGATTTCAGAGACAAATGACTCCAAAAGTGCTCATCATTCTTCATTGACTAGGAAGAGTTGGAAAAGGGGGGCTTAGACTCAACACCTGGTCTGCACATGGCTACATTGGACAAGATGCTCTGAGGGTAAGGCAATTTCCTATTTCTGAGGAGAAAGGTATGCTTATCGATTAATAATAATACTTAATTTAAAAAAAGAACAAATCAGAAGTGCTCACTAATCCTCCAAGACTAATGGAAACTTTAAGTATAACCGAGCAGTAAAGGAATACAATGGAAATTAATATTTTCCTCTTCTCTTCTGCAAATAAAATATACATCTTTCAAGTCAAATCCAGCAGACCTTCCTCAAAAAATCCCCCCCTTAGTTTCACAGAAGTCACACTAATAGCAAAGTAAGCCCTACTGCACATGCACTGAACATATTCAGTATTGCACAATGTCAACATTTGTATGCAAAATCAGGAAAACAATTCAAACATCCCTTAAATTCTCACTGCCAGTCTACCCTGCAGAGGAACTTACCTATTAGTGCCTTTACAAATTCTGCTATGTCATATTACTGCACTACTGTTGGTTAAAGGACTATGATGAAGATTTTCAGTGGGTTGTTTTGTGGGGATTTTTTTGGTTTTTTTGTGGTTTTTTTTTTAAATATAGCATCACTGTACTATATCTATTCCCTACCAGCAAATGTATGAATAATCTACCTAGCCTAATTTACCCAGCCATGTGAATATTTATGTCCATTTACTGCAGGGAGGGAAAGGCATTACAATTACTGCTTTTTCAGAAGCTGGCAATCACTTGCATGAGGCACAGCACAGTCATTTTAGACATCTGACATTAAGTGCTTTTGTATTTTATTTTTCAAATATGAAAAAAAATATTAATCAAGATCCGGCAAAGGCAAGAAAACACATAGAATATGTTGGTAGTTTTATGTTTTGACCAGGGAAGCCTGTTCCGTTTTCTACAAGGCGTGCAAACTATTTTTTAAAGTGACTATGAAGTATGGGTGCCTCTGTTCTGAGGTGCCCTCCTTAAGACAGTATAGGAGCCTGTTTGTCAGAGCATGGCTGCTCGCAAGGAAAAAGACCCCATCTCAACTTGGTCGCTGGAAATCGCTAGTTCCTCCTCAAAAATATTCTCTGGCGCATTCATGCATGCAGTGCTGCTGTTGGACCCTAAAGCACTTAGTGGAGTGCACCTGGGGGCAGCTCGCAGCTGCTGTGACCAGCAACAGCGCTACAGAGAAACGCAACACCTGATCCAACAGACTACGAGTCTGACACTATTTGGCACGTTTGTTGCTTCACTCTGAGAGGAGAATCCCTGTGGCATATCTTCCATTAAAAGCGTTAAAACTTTTTCTTTCAATCTCGTTATTTTCTCTCTCCTACATACCACTACTCCCTTTCACCTGCTGCAGTGACAGCAGCCACCTCCACTGCCTATCCACCTTGGCGTCTTTTTCTCTGTGTATCTGGTAGTGATACAGAACACCTTCAGCAAACTGACCTGCAGAATGAGCATCATGATATTACCCACCATGGGCACCTCCCTATTAAGATGTCTACAGGAAAACGCTAGTCTGGTGCCACGCAGGTAATGTTCAATAGGCTGCGCCGACTTTTATCTGGCTCAAGTCCGTAAGAATCTCTGGGACTGACCATCCATACCAGGCTACAGTGGGGTGTCTGGCAGAAGACATACGACCTATCGCCCTTGGACCAGCACTTCTCAGGACAAGCATTTGGGACTCAGATGGAATACAAGTGAAAAGGAGATGGTTTGAGCTTCTGCTTTGTGCTCACATGCATTTTAGCCACCAACATCCTAAGTTACATGGACTTTAGACAGACTGCATCTTACTATTTTTTTCCTGAAACCTTGGCTCATTTTCTCTATTTTATTCTCCTTTTTCACACCTACCTAATTCCTATATTTTAATTACTTCAGTCACTCTGGATTTGAGATTTTCTTTCTTTCAGTCTTTAGGATGTCCCTCACTACAGGATCATGGGACTGCTTAGGGCTTTCAGGTCTTTCCAGAATATATGAATAAAAAGTAAACAAAGAGAGACTCCAGTAAGCTAGTAACAAGGCTAAAAATCAAACTATATAGATAAACTACAACCTTATGAGTAATAAAATCCTCTCTAAACAGAACTCTTGCAGTAGTATTCCTGTAGAAGATATAACTGGAGCAAGCCTATGAATGTGGGAATAATATTGAAAGGACTATCAGTAGGGAATTGTACAGAGTTCTAGCTGTGGAAGGAATTTGACGTAATTAAACAAATCGGTTTGTTCTCAGAAAATGTAGTTAATATGTACCAGAAGTAGAATCTCAGGCTCCGTTAGTTTGCAAAACCATGTCTTTGTAACCAGGAGGAACATTTTTTCATACTAAGAATCCAAGTCTGTGGCTCAAAAGTGTGTTTTGATCTTCTTAATGAGAATCAAATAAATGCCCCATGATAGAACCTCCAAATTAATTTATTCCATAATAAATACTTGAACAAATTTTTATGCATACAGATCTAGAAAAGAAAAATATAAGAAAAACAGCTCTATATTCTTGCCTAAGAAAAACACAACTCCGTCACACAAATTCTATTCTATTTAATCAATCAGTTCAACTCATTTATCTACCAAAGTTCATGGTAATACTGGTGGAGACAGAAATGTAACTCTGATCTCAGTCTTGGGGACCGATTCTTACCACTACAAAACATGTATTTCTATATGCTAACATCTGGGGAATTATTTTTTATACATGGACTTATGGTCCTATCAACATAATGTAAGTCATCTCAACCAGTTAATAAAATTTAAGGGATTCAAATGAAAATAGCTTTTTCAAGTACTTGATGCACTAGCGGTGCGTTGCATTTTTTTGAAGAGAACTCTTCAGTGTAAGAAATCCTGCTGTCAGGATACTCCTAAATGAAGTTCTGAGGATTGTTATAATCTCAGCAAGGAAATAAGAGGTGATGCAGTGAAACCTTATGTCAGTAGCCCTGGATGGCTCTGGGAAATGTGATTGCTCAGCACTCCTTAACAGGCTCTCAAGCCGATAAAACATGCCAGTAACATGTGGCACATGGTGGGGACGGTGCAAATTGTACATTGTACTTTCAGGACACTCGTTTTCAACAGTTCACAAAACCTGTAAAGAGAGAAGCACTTAAAACTACAAAGTCTGGGACTGGTTCTGTATAGTCAGGACAATGGAAGGGACGCTACAGGTCAGTGTTAACTTTGGAGCACGTGTAATTTCGGACAAGAAGTTTACTGCCGTTGCCTCCCTGTAGTGCTGAGGCTGAAAACCTGTTGGTTTTGACATGTACTAAAGTTCCTTTATAGCAGGTGCTCTAATAAAATATATTGTGCTACAGGAAGAATCACAGTATATGTGAGATCTAAGACCACCAAAAGACTAAACATAATCATCACATCTATCTTCTTTTACTCTGCTCTTGGAAACACTCACTGAAGGGCTGGGGTTGTCTTTCCTCTATCAGTATCTCTAGCTGTGAAACAGGAGCTGAAAATATCTTCATTTTTTTCCTAAAAATATGAAAATTAAGACTTCCCCCAAGAACTCAAATTAGCACCGTTACCAACAACAATTCAGTCCAGAGCATCAAGGGTGTTTTGTGAAAACCTATTGGCTTCCTGTAGCTATTAGAGCCCTCTCTGCTCTCTCAAAGCAAAGCAATAATTGCCCACCTCAGCAAATCAAACCTCCACACTGGCCTTTGTCAGCTGCTGGGGAATGGTTTAGTGTTAAGCTGAAGAGGAAATAAGATTGCTCTTCAAACATATGTCAGTCATCAGCATGAGCAGCACATTTACTACTTTATGCTCTAAAACTAAACCTGGCTGGTGTAGAGTCTGGGAGAAAATTAGGCTAAATATCATCTACCATCAGACAAGGTCTATGACACAGGCCTGCAACCCACACACACGCACACACACTCATGCCATGTCCAAAGGCAGTCTAATGCTGCAACAGAGAGAAGTTCAACATTTTTGCCTTCGCAAAGAGCACAGCCACTGTTCATGCTGTGGTTAGCACGATGCAAGGCAAATTTGCCAACAATGCTTGTGGCACACAGTTGTCCATTTCTTCCATTCAGTAAGTTCTCCTTCCTTCATGAAAATTCTCAGCCTTACCAGTGACTTCCAAGAGCAATACAGAATATACAGATGTTTAATAAGAAGTCTACTGATTTGGGGAGCTAAAAATATAATAACATCCTCCCCCCAGGGTCAATTAAATCAAACAAATCACTATGATAGTGGTCACTTTATGACTTAGTCTTCACCTTGATGCTTAAGCTGGATAATTATAGCAAAATCCCGAATTAGGGGTGTCTTGCCCCGTGAACTGCTACAGCTCTTCGCGAAACAGCATGCAACTCTTTTTGCCCACATCAGTCTGAGTTTCCCTGCAGCCTGTCTGGGTAGGTAGTGTGGCAAAGATACTAAATAATGAGAAGGCAGAGATGTTAACGATGCAAGTAAAATCTGTCCCCATTTGTATCCTTTAAGACAGTTTGTCCTTGCCCAGAGAGGCACCAGCTGCTGAGTAAACACAAAAGACAAAAAACACATTAACTGATATTCACAATGAAGGGGGAAAACAAGTAAAGCAAAATAACAGCCACAACAGTCAGTGATGGCGGCAGTTCACTCTTCTCTGCAGTCTCACTGAGGAAAGCATCTGCTGACCATACACTGA